AAAGTCAATGAAAAAGAATGCAATCAACACATAATTTAAAAATATGCATTGCAAACTTGAATAGAACGTTTCCAGATTTTTAAGAAAAAGAGCATAGTCAGGTAAGGTGTGACGGTACACAAAGGTCCAATTTAACTTTGGGCAATTATATTGTGAGAATTATATCACAACAAATATCACATATCAAACGAAAAATTATCTGACTATGTTGAGTAAAGCTACACAGCTCTTTATCATTATAGAAATGTGTTTTTTTACTGTTTTTAAAAAAAAATTGTAACCTGGCCAGGAGGCGAACGTGTTCAATGTCTGATTTATAATTTTGAAAGAATTTTACGGTAGACCTTTTTACCCGCGGACCGGTAAACCCCGCTCTACTCTAATGCAGCAGCTTGTGTTTATTTCTAAAAAAATCTTCTTTAAACTACTTTCTTTTGATAATAGAGAGTTATTGGAATGTTCAACAAGTAATTTCTTTTAACCCTGCAGTTTGAAGCAAGTGTGCAACCAGTGTATACAGTTAATGTTAGTAAATTAAATTTATCGAACTGTTAATAACCAATATGCATCAACCAAAAAATGATTGTTTCGGCATCAATTGAATCATATCGTGATAATCTGAAACTTGATATCATATATAATAGTTACATTTTTCAAATAGTTTCCATCTTTTTTGAATAGCTATGTTAATTTATCTATGATAGCATTGTTACCTTACCTACACAAAATATTTAAGTTGTGACATAAATGGTACATATATTAATACGCTTAGCTTAAAATTATTGCAAAGAATATGTCTTTTTACACACAATCCTTTCATTACATTTCCTAACATACATTTATTATGCAGATGCAAAAAAATCAATTAAATCTCCTCTCTGAAAATAAAAAAATAACTTTAAATAATATTTGTAAGAAACATTAAAACTAAAATATTGATTGCAAATATACAGGTATTTTAATTTTATATTTCATCTTTTTATAGAAAATGAAAATGTGCAGGAGGGAATGGTTGGCGCTGCATTTCGTTTTTCTGGCGGTTCATTCAGTTACATGTGCTCCTTTGCCGAATGAGGTTTGTATTGTATTTATATTAATTATATATAATTTAAATTAAGTATTATAGTTAACTATGTGTTCAAGTAATGTTTTAATTTTAATCTATTTGAAATAATTATATTGTTTAATATCTAATTCCATATTTAAAATATTCAAGTGACGATTTTAATAGATAATTACAAACAACCTATTTGGGTTATCAGTATCAAAAAACATGATTTTCAACTATTTACACATTTTGAAATTAGTTTTGCTAAAATTGCAGACCGTTAGCTATAAAGAAACAGCTAGACTGATAATCATGGAATACTAACAAATGCAAGTCATAGTTTTTTTTTATTTATATATTATTTTCATATCTGCCAGACAGGAAGTATCTGGTATGAGAGATTATGAAACAATTTTCTTATTTTATATATAGTTAAATTTTAACAACAATTTAAACGGCTTTCCTGTGAAAAGTTAATAAATATTATATTATAAATTTAAATTATTTTATTTCAGCGTACAAATGACGACCCTGCTACCTCAAACTCTAATAGCAGGAAAGCAAAATCTCTGTTCTTCGATTTCCCTTTAGCTTCATATCGCACGAATAATGAATATGAAGAATCCCCCTTAGATTACGATGCATTACTGATGTCTTCACATCAGCAAGTGGATGACATCGATGATCCAGAAGATCTATCCAGGAGTGCTCCGTCCAGAAAACGATATCAGAACAATGGAAATTTTCCGAATAGTCCTATCTACTACATCAGACTTCCTGCAACTCCATATATGTTTGTTCCCGGTTTAGGATATGTTTCTAATCCACCCACGATGAATCAGTTGGGAGCAGGTGCGTTACCTCCACCACCAGACCCGTTCATTAACTTACCTGTCAACTTTATGTCAAACGGAAAACCAACTAATATTTACCAATGGCCAGATCCATTTGTCCCAACAGCCAATAGACCATTCCAACAGCAGCACCAGCCGCAGTTCCAGATTCAAAAATATCAACAACAGAACGGATTTTCTCAATTCCAAGGTAAAAAATGAAACCTTTATGATTATAAATAAGTGATTCTCATTTGATTGTTCAACGTTATTGACAGATTTTTGACTATTACTTTTTATTATAACTTGTTAGCAATAAAAATAAATAATATGTTTATTATTAAATAATCATACCAAATATAATTAAGAGAAGCTATCAATCATATTATGAGATAAAGAATGAAAGACGTATCGCACCCCCGCAAGAAAAGTGACTTAACTCAAACATTTTCAGAAAACACTTTATGTGCGCATTTTATACCAATTAGAATATAATCTTGAGTCCTAAAAATTGGCATGAGTTAAATTTTTAATTAAATAAAAATATAGTCAAACGACATTAGTCAAAATATGGGCGAGTTTTGAGATTTCTTTATAGTATGAACTATAAATTGCACTAATCTTTTACTAACCTTTTTTATTTAAACTCATCACAAAGTACTAATATTGCTAGAGGGGCTAAAGTATATAATAAGAACTTTATTGTAAAGTTATCCATTCTAATTATTTTGTTCAAAATAGTTCCATTAGGATTTGGAATAACTTTTTGTGCAATTTGTCGTTCATGTTCAAATACTATCATCATAACGGACATAAATCGCAATCATAAAATGTCATTTTAGATTAAATAGAATCATTCTAGTGTCCATGATATTAAGTTAAGACGCAATATCATTTGACAAACAGTTGTTTTAGACATACGTATCTCTTCAATCCTAACAAATGATACTATAAACCTGGAAAGAATGTGACTCAAATAAAACGCATGATTTATTTGTTTTAGAAAGCACTTAATTGATATATTTTTATATTGTTAATTTTTTAGCTCCATCTTACCAACAAAATGCAATTCCTCAGCCGATCAAGAAAACGCCCAAACCATCCAATAGCGACTCCAAAGTGACGCACCTGAAGGGTCCTTTCCCGTTCAACGGTCGTCCCACGGACATCATTGTTTTAAGGGATTCCTACAACGCTCTCTACTCGGACGCCCTTACCAACTTCTACCCTTAATTTTCTTTCAAATTTAATTTTGAACGTTCTAATAGTGATAATAATTTAAATTGCGTCAATGGGTTGCATCGTGTCAATTGTGGGTGCATATTGTGTTTATGAAGGTTCTACTGCCGCAGTTTTATGAAGTAATTTCAACATATCCAGCATTATCCAGAATCGAAATATCTGACAAAAATATAATCTATATATTTTTGTCAATATAATAATTTTATATGATTATATTTGTTTTTTACCAATCGTTCTTAAAAATTTAGTTCTACAATTGTATAGTTGTACCAAAATTATATAGTTGTAACCAAATGTCAATTTTCTGAATTTACAAATTGTTTGCATAATTTTAATTTTATTACATTATTGAATATATGTCTGTACCTTTGAATGTATGTATTAATTTCATTTATTTCATAGTAGCATTAAAACCGACTTAGAGGTCTAATCATACCGAATATACAATTTAGAATTTAATTGTGAATATACAAAATTTGTTTTCAAATGATTGTATATACCAGCCACATTTGTAATATTAATATTTTGCCAGCCGTGTTTATTATGCATAATTAACTTTATTTTCTTCTATAAAATACTTAAAGATAATTATTATTTGGATTTTTCATGTATTTAGTTTTAATATTATTTTTTGAATTTCATAGATATAAGTACGAAGAATTAGGCCAGCAATTTAATAATATTACATAGACAATAGATTTGCTGAAATTCAATAACTAATAAATGCTAATAATAATTTGTAAAAAAAACTTTACTATCGTACTTATTTTACATTCTTATAAATGACGAAATGTTGCCATCTCGCAACATTTTTAACTATGATTTCAATATTGAAGTCTGAACAAATTATCGAAAGGTATTTGATATTGTATTTTAGTTTCAATCTGAAACTTTTATCAAGAAGTGTTCGAAACAAGATTATGATATAATAAAGTTTTTAACCAATTATTCGTTTTGCGAACTACAATTGATCTACCAAAAATATTCATTTAACTGTAAACTTGATTAATAATTACATAACTTTTAAATAATAACGATACCTATAAGTAGACTAAGTTATAGCATATAATAACATTTACAAAAACATTGACAAAAATTGTTCACTGAATTGCAATAGTGACGAAACAATTACTTAAGAATAAAAAGTCAAACGTAAATATTTTTATACATACAATATAGGATAAGTTATTTTTGTACACAAATTAATCGAAGCGTATGTTATTTATTATTAGATATTTCCACTTTGACTTTTTTGTGACAGTATTAAAATAAAATGCATATTTATTTATTTGGGATTTCCATTTCTGATATTGATTTATTGAAATGCCTAATGTTAGTCCAATGTATTTTTTTCAGAATTTTGTAGAATATTACATTCCTTAGAATTTTAAAAAGTGAACAAGCAGAACTTAGAACTTTATAAAATAAAAGTAACCGTGTAGGTAAATCATTAACTTCACATTGGGTAAGTTATAGCAATCGTTCACAAATCGAAAATGAATATTTTTGCAGATATTTATTTCAAAGGTTTCTGAACATTTTGACATACCTTAGAAAATGTGTTTTTTTGTATAGCGAGGGAATTTCATTTATGCATCCCATTGTCTGGGTATGCCGAACTCAACACCGGCTGGGTATAATACCGACTAAAACGTCTGCTTTGTCTTTGCTTCTGGTCCCCACGGAAACCGCCGTTAGGCATTACTTCGTGGGGGTAGAATCTAGAAAGTTATCATTCTTGCACTGATTTTATACTTATCTTTTAAATGAGCGAAGTCCCATTCGCTCTTTCTCTTTCCGTAGATCGCAGGTCAATAAGCACATCTCTCGCAAATCTTTCTATGGCGTTCCAAGCAACCTCATTTATCAGCATCACCTCTACAGCAGTATCTAAAGTAATTTTTCGGCTCAATATCTCTTCTACATCGTCCCGTAGAGCACTAAATCGCGGGCAAACGACGAACGCGTACTCAGCATCTTCGTTTTCGCCCAAACAATATGGCCGATTCGGCGATCTATAGTGCTTGAAGCGGTGTAGGTAGGCTCGAAAACAACCGTGCCCTGATAGCATTTGCGGAGTGTAATAATATAATAATTCACTTCTCCATGCTTGCGATTTAGCCAGACTTTGATGATTGGAATGAAACAATGCGTCCATCTGCCCCACATCCCACAGTTGCTGCCATCGTTCAATTTATACAGTTTATGTCAATTCAGGACTCAGTTGTTGATGTCTTCGTTGGTAAATCGTTCGTCTTTTCTTTGCTAAGACTAAGATAGGCAGAGTTCCTGAAATGATGCACACTGCTTCCTCCAATGCTGGGCGAAATGCGCAATCAACTCTTAACACTTACAATTTATTGTCAGAAAAATGTATGTGTGTGTATGTATGTATGTGTGGATACAATTTTTTAACTTCCCGTAAGGTAAGTTATAGTAATCGCAAAAAAATCGAAAATGAAAATTTTTATACATCTTTACGTTTCAGAGGTTTCTGAATATTTTGGCATACCTTAGAAAAAATTGATGTATGTGTGTGTGTGTGTGTGTGTGTGTGCGTAGTATGTATGTGTGTGCGGATACAAATTTTCGTCGACGATTTCGGGAACACGGATGAAGCAATTTGAATAATTCAAAAAACATTCGATCCGTATTGATAAGGAGACGTGCTGATTAGTTTTTGGCGGAGGTAGGTCTAGCCGTTCCGAAGATATGGGGCAAAAAGTGCCAAAAACGGTACCTCAGTTTTTAATAGAACGGATCGTCCGATTTTAATAATTGAAAAAACATTTTACTTGTATTGACAAGAAAAAAGTAAAAAAAAATGCCATTTGGCGATCAAAAATGATCATTAGACATATGCACATCAAATTATCAGATATTTTATAGAGAATTTAACAATAAGTATAAATTTTGTTTACATTCCTATGGGTTCCGTACCAATGTTTACCCGTTAGACAGCGACGCGGCGCTTACGCGCTTTATATTTTGTCTCTATGCATTTAAAGCAGTACGATTGCTTTGAAAAAAAGTTCAGATCTTCCAACATATGTCAAAATAAAGAAAACATTTTTTTTCAAAAAAAAAGATTAAAAAAAAAATTTTTAAATATTTTTTTTTTCATTTTTTTTTTTTTAAAAAAAAGTAATTTTAAGACAGATTTCCACTTACAGCTAGTTCTTAACGTTTTCGCGAGCACACATCAATCAATTTGAATTATTCAAAAACATTTGATTTCTATTGATAGGGAAACGTGCTGATTAGTTTTTCTTGCAAAGGCAGTTCGAACCGTTTCTGAGATACGGAGTAATAAGTGCAAAAAATAGCAGTTATCAAGAGAACGGATGATCTAATTCAAAAAAAATTTTGCCTGTGTAGACAGTGTGAAGAAATAATTAGTTTTTGATGAAAGCATTTTTTTATAATTTTCAAAAAAATGTTTAAATATCTGATATTATTCGGTTTTCAATTTTAATTCAGAATAAAAGCATTTCAGATTTCTGGAATATTTCGTTATGGTACGGGAAGTTCCAGCGATTTTCCTTAAACGATGCCATGCACCACTAGTTATTTTTGTAATATATTATGTTTACTTATCTATGCACTATTGTTAAAATATTTATAAAAAAAAAACATACTTATAGCAATAAAGAAACATTTCGACATTCCAAGCTCAGACCCACAAGTAGTATACTGTCATTCAAGAACACCAACAGAGGGCCCAAGGATCAAATGCCACATTTCTGTCAAAAGATATTCAAAAGTCAAAAGATACAGAAAAAGAGGTCGAAAATATAAACTATGTATTCATAATGAATACCCTAGACAATATAATAATGATGAATACATCGTATTCTGATATTGTCTAGGGTTATTATTAACATTATTTTCTATGGGCAACTTCGAATTCAAACGCATACAACAAAAGTGATGGATGTTAAATATGTGGATAATATATTGAAAAGTTGTACACAATATTCATATCTTTACAATACATTTATGTTAAAAGTTTAATAAGCTGCTGCATAAGATCCTTTTATTAAGATAAGATTGAGGAATTCGTGCTTGTTTTAGATAATTAGATACCTCGTCTTACTTTTAATGTTGTTGAGCTGTATCGATAATTCTAGTGGCAGTGTTATTTATTATAGCATTTGTATAAAAAACTATCTACGTTTATACCATTATGAAATGTTTTCATTAGATCATTGTTATCTTTTAACAATTTGTGATTATTTATGAGGTCTACATTCCTATCGAAGATGAGCATATTCATATAACTTATGGCTGCTTATGCATATCAGTCGATGCAAGAAGGCTACTGTGAGAACAATTGAATATTTAGCAGGTGATATTAGTAATGTGTCAAGAACTTCCTAAATATAACACCTCATATCATATTGAAGTCTATTAAATTATATGTAAAAGTAGATTTCTTGGTTTTAAATCACAATATTTACAATCGGCTACTTAATGCTTATATGATTTAGGATTACATACGCTATACACATACTCTATTAAGGTCATTCATTTATCATTTAAGTTTTCATTGGATGTATTTCATTGGATTTTGAATCGGTTTCAAGGAATTATTCACTTGTTTAATGTTTATTTTTTTCTCTGAATTTTAACAGCAATCAGAACTTACTTCCTATGAGCTCTTGTGCTCAATCTTTTCTTTCATGCTCTATTCAACTAACGATTAACTTATCTACATTTGATTATTCTACTGTTAAAATTAATCTAATATTGATGCAACAATGTCCGGAAAGGGCTGTTTTCTCTTGGAAACATATTTATTATTGACTGAACATGTCAAAAATTTGATTTCATTTCAAGATCCATAAATCAAATGACACTATATTGCAAAATGTTCTGAACTTAAATTCCATTGATAAGATTTGATTAGGATTGCAAATTTTTGGCTACATGATTATTGATAAAGTGTATTGTAAGATGTTGAGCAGAAATGCGTTTTGTTTTAACATATGATTCATCATATGAAGTTATTGGATTATTATATTTGAATGCTTAGTGCATATATTTGTAAAAATATATTTGTTGTAAAAATATGCTTATATTTGTAATATGTTTATGATTATGCAAACATACAAATCTTTAAATTCCTTTAATA